TGAAGCCAGCATCGCTCCGATTCCAAAATGAGACAAAGACACAACAAAAAAAAATGGTTCTCACAGAAGTAGAGAGTAGCTTAATGATTATCAGAGGCTGGGAAGGGAAAGGGAACCGGAGGGGGAAGGGGAAGAGGTGGATTAATGGGTATAAAGTTCCAGGTAGATAGCAAGAATAAGTTCTGGTGTTCTAGAACAATTAGAGCTAATAATATTGTATATTTCTAAATAGCAAGAAAAGAAAACCTTGACTATAATCACCACAAAGAAAAGAGAAATGTTTAGATGATGGATATGCTGTCTACCCTAAGTGGAACATAGTACAATACATGCATGTATTGAAACAACACACTGTACTCCACAAATATGTACCTCTAAAAATAAATAATAAAAGTATAACTAGAAATTCAACAGGAAAAGAGTGAAAAAGAGGCATTCAGAAGAAATTTGGAAAAGGGCATGAAGGCACAAAATAAGTAGCAAGACACATCGGTGAACACCTAAGTGTTTGAAATAGCAGGAGAACATGTAGTTGGAAGAGAGGCAAGAGATGTGTTTAGAGGGATGGGAAGAGGTCAGACAGCAATGTGACATTGGAGGGGCACAAGACCACAGGCACAGAGTGAAGCCAACAGTGGTTTCTATCTTGGGTGGCTAGGTAGCCTGTGATTTCCTAATTAGGAAAGATTTTGAAGATCAGGATTAAAATCAGGATGATGAGTTCAGTCTTAGACAAGCAGAGGTAAAGATATCAGTGTGCCTCCAGCTAACATATATTTGAATCCAACACTTAGTAGAGAAGACTGTATACAAATATATATTTGAGAGTCATAATCATATAGGTGGTAACTAAAACCTTCAGAGAGGACCTTCAAAGTCCTCCAAGGTGAGTGTATAGAAGAAGAGCAAAGGGCTGAGAGCAGAGCCCTGGGGAACAACTAAATATAAGTAGAAGGCATAGGAAGATAGGGAAAGAATGATTAGAGAATGAACAGATCCAGATGAATATGGGAACATTGAAGCCAAGAAAGAAAAAAGGGAAGGAGAAGGAGGAGGAGGAGGAGGA